GGGAGAGAGAAGAGAACCTCTGGGACCAGGGTACCTGTCTGCAAATGGGTGTGCCATACTATGTGATCGTCAGAAAATATTGCATTATTAGTTAGGTCACCTTTACCATCTGAAAATAAAGTTGGAAAAGCCATTGATGCTAAGAAGTGACAACTGAAATCATTTAGGGGTTCACTTTTAATATTCTAATTGCAGGTTTGTGGTGTTTTAAGGAATTGACCCTTAATAACATCTTTTACTTTTTAGTTTTGTTGGGACAAAACTATCCAAGCATTTCACTCTCTGATTTATGAACTTTCTGATTGTTTTCAAAACTGACTGACCTTAGTGGATGTCGGCATCTTCATTTTTTTCAAAATTCTCATTTGTATGTCTACCACTTTCAACTCTGGTAACATCTGTGACAATACTATTCTCTGACAAACTTCTTAGGTTTTGCTTCTTTCCAAATGACTAAGGAACTCAATGACTATTTGATTGGTTGACTGACCAAACTGCAGACCATAAATTTGGACCATATAAAGACTGACATATTGCTTAGTAGCTGACAATCCAAACAGCCTGTCAATATTAAACCAAGAGACTAACCATCTGATAACCTTTACAACTGGACCTTGTGACTGCCCACAGACTGACTAAAATACTGCCCATAGAAACCATTGAGAATCAAGGATCAAGAATCGATGCTTGAGTATTGAGGATCAATATGCTTGAAGGACTTTTCAAGTATCTCAATTGCAATTTCAAGTAAAGATTTAATTCTTGCAACCAAAACATTATGGCCAAAGGTGAAGCCCTTGACAGGTGTGCAAATATTTTCATTCTAAACAGGAATCAAGCTTGAATCAAGCCACTCTTGACATGTTGCTTTTCTGATACTTAAAACAGAATTCAATCAAACAAAAATTCAGGTATGTAACACTTAATTCTAAAAAAATTAATCTTTACACGCACGAGTCATGTCAGTTTTCTTTGGTTTTGGTTTTATCCCAAATCTAAAACTGACTGATGAAAATGTAAACAAACATTTCCAGGGAAACTGATTTGTAGCATTTGATAAAATTGTATTCCTTCTCCTCCTTAGCCATGCTTCAAGATGAAAGAGAATAATCTACACACACAAAAACAGTCAATAATAATGAAATGAATGCCCAGGGGTATTGGGGTCAGCCATCATATTCATCTAATTTCGATGATGGTCTACTCCTGATCTACCTCACGGGGGAATTCTCAAGGTTTCGTATGGTTTCTCCTGCTCTGATAAATTACAGATTTTCCTACCAAAAGAAACTAATTTAAAAGTCAACACCTTTTTATCAGAAGCCTACAATTATTTCTTTCAGTGACATTTAAAAGTACAATGTGATAACTTCTTACCTATTTTCATACCTGTATAATTTAAAGTCCATCTAGAGTGCTTGTGAAAGCGGGCAGAGATACACGTAAAACAAACTTGTTCTTATTCTTCTCTGGAAAGACTATAAAAGGGGCAGACATCTGATTCTGCTGTAGCTCTTTGACTCTTTTAACTTTTTATGACTAAAATTAAATTTATCCTGCATTCTTTTTGCACTATTTGATAAGAAAGCTTTCAACTCAAGAAGTGTGCTATATGTAACTTGCTTCAGCTCAGGTGGCAGAGAGATTGGTCCATTAAACTAAAGACTGAATGACTCCCAGGTTCCACAAGGCTGAGATTTATTGGGTTAACTATTTCAGTGATCCTGTTTAGCAAGATGAGTAAGCAAACGCTGCGTGTTGGTTCTAAGTTTTAAAGCAATATCTGGTGGTTCCTTCTGAATTTCCCTGAGCCCTAGGGTCTCTTTTTCATGTGTTTGCAATTTTTAACGTAAGGTCACATGTTGGTGAGCAACTGTTCTCCACAAGATAAAAATTGGTATTTGGATAACCTCAAAATACCTTAATAACTTGTGTATAAGCAGCACCCCCAAATTTCAAGCATGTTTTCCAGAAAAACAATTAAAACTTGAAAAAGATATCCAGTAAAAGGTTGTTTGTTCATTTGCAGTTTTTCGTGACAAACATGCCAAAATCTATTGCTGAGCATTTGCAACAACCTTAATGAGTTAACAAACTCTTAATTAAAATACCTTTTAAAAGCTAGTGTTTAATCAATTTCCCTAACTCTTGAGACTGACAACAGTTGTCTGTACTGTTAAGCCCTCAGTTGAAATGAAAACAATGAAATTTGAACAGAAATGAAGCATAGGAGAAAAACATTTGCGTAGGAATCACATTCAGTAAAAAACATGGAAAGGTTTGCTGTGTGTGCATATCTATCATGAAAGCCATCAATCAAAGAAAAACTATAGCTAAACAAAATTTCAACAACCACAAGGATAAACATGCTATGCAAGTAATGATAGGGTTACAAAACAATCAGCTGTTTCTCTTGAGAGTACTCCCAAGAGATATATGTGTTAAAGTGATCAGTCTAAGATGGTTTTTAGTGTTATTTATGACCTTGAACAATCCATTTCACTCCCTCTGGAAACAGTGGTCTTGCATATTGCCACAACCATTATTTTGAGCCCAATATTTTAGAAAAAAGATGTGGCTTCTAAACAGGTTTTTACAGTAGTTGTGCTGTGTTTTCCTTTCTTTAATTAATTGTTACAGGATGAAATCTTGATCACGTTTGAAGAGATTAATTAGCTTTTTGAGGCTGATAAATTGCCAGACTGGCTGATAATCTTTCTGACTTATGACAGACTGATAAAAAGTTTAAGGTTGCATTTCTTAGTTTAACTAGGTCATTCAGTATCTTTTTTCTCCATCATATATCCAAATGCAAGGAACACTTGGAGGAAAATGTTTATTTATTTATTTATTAATTTTTTTTTTCAGGGTGTACATGTATGACAACCATGGTATTTATCCCAGGCTAATTAAAGATTGCTTTGCTGTGAAATCCAGTTGTTGGCTGAAGCAGGTAAACAAAATTATGATATAAGCTATGTGTTGTTGGTAGTTTACCATGGATGCATATTGTGCTATGTAACATGCTGAGTTTGATGTGCAAGAAGAGCACCCTGGCATTTCAAAATGGAACTATCCAGTGGTGGTTCTAGGGGTAAAAAAAAAATAAACACTGAAGGAAGAAAAGGTGGCAGGTGTATCCACACGAAAAACCCAGGCACCACCCCTTAGCTCAAGGTCTGGATTCTCCACTTGTATCCATGACTGAATTGATTGTTTGTAGGGTCAATAAAAGTGGATCTGTGCAGTGGATAACTTGCCGTCCATTTTTCCTTCTCCCATTTGGAAAATTGTAATGTTTTTATGCTCTGAACTGATGCACACTCTTGGAAGGATATTGGTGACAAAAAGTTGAGCATGTCACCCAAAATTGATATTCTTCAGTCTTGATCTGTGATGCAAAGACTAGGTCCCCCAAAAAGAGGATAAACTGTTTTGGACACTGGACTGTCTTCATGCGCTGATCAGGTGTTTGACTTTGTACAAGAAGTGGGTGACTGAAGGCTGATCCGCTAAGGAGCTGGCCTCACCCTACTCAACTTTTCCTTAGTCTTGATCTATGATGCAAAGACGCTGATCAGGTGTTTGATTTTGTACCAGAGATGGGTGACTGAAGGCTGATCCGCTAAGAAGCTGGCCTCACCCTACTCAACTTTTCCTTAGTCTTGATCTATGATGCAAAGACGCTGATCAGGTGTTTGATTTTGTACCAGAGATGGGTGACTAAGAACTGATACAATGAGGTGTCGGTTTCACCAAACAAATCTCTGAAAAGAGTTGTAGATAACTAAATTCAAAGAGTACTATAAACTTGTAACGTATGTATAAACTGAAGGTGTAATGTTTTTTTATTTTTGTATCTATTGATCTCTACTCAGGACCTAAGCAAGAGTTGAGATGCTGTTTGTTTTCAAAGTTCTTGGATTTCAGAGGATTGTTGGACCATGATCGACTCCATGAGGTGTACAATTCTGTGCACGTATTCCATTTAGGCTCAATTACACATCATAGAAGCATCATTTAGGTATGTCGCGGAGCTGGGCTTTTCATGACCTGCCAATTAGAATTTACTTTCAAGTTGGTGTGGATTGTAAAGACAATTGCATTTACCGAAAGGATAATTTGGTTTTATCAACGGAGTTGATAATGTACATTGGCCAACCACTCCAAATCCGCAGGCGGATATGGACCCCCGTCCAAATCTGCTGGCGAATATGA